ACGTGTTGACATGTACGTGTTGACGTATACGTGTTTAGGACGTGTACGTGTTGATGTGTACGTGTTGAGGACGTGTACGTGTTGACATGTACGCGTTGACATGTACGTGTTGACATGTGTGTTGTCAGGAGAAGCCCTTAGTGAAGGACTTTCTAGATTTATTGGACTCTTTTAATTTAGCTCAGCAGGTGAGCGGCCCCACCCAGGAACATGGTCACACGCTGGACCTCGTTTTAACACGCGATGTCTCTGTTTCTAATTTGAAAATCGGTGACAATGTTTTTTCAGATCACATGCCTGTATTGTTTGACTTCACCCCCCCTTGTCATACTGCCAAGACGTGCGTTCCTGCACGTACGCGTTCCATTAACCGTTTCATTGCTGCTCGTTTTAATGAAGGTTTTAACTCTGAGAGGATCGAACAGTTCCCGGTGTCTCTTACCACTGAGGAGCTAACCTCTCAGTTCAACTCTGCCTGTTTAAATGTTCTGGACTGTGTTGCTCCCCTTAAAACCAGAAAAACGAAACTTAAATCAGAGCCTTGGCTGAATGACGTCACGCGAGCCGTTAGGCGGCAGTGTCGCAAAGCTGAACGAAAGTGGAGGAAGGACAGGCTCCAGGTGTCTTTTCAAATGTTAAGGGAGAGTTGGCGTCACTATCAGAAAACCGTTAAAGCTGCCAAATGTAAATTCTTCTCTGATTTAATTGTCTCCAACTCCCACAACCCCCGAGTTCTTTTCTCCACCCTGAACTCAGTTCTGCACCTCAGTGAGCCTTCACCTCTGGAAGCCTCAACTGAGCTGTGTGAGAACTTCCTCCATTTCTTTTTAGAAAAAGTGGCAAACACCCGGGCACTCATTTCTCCACCAGCTCATGATCTGTCCATCCCTTCTCAGTGTGTGGCTGTGTTTGACCACTTTGAGCCCATCTCTCTGTCCTCTCTGGAGCAGGTAATGTGCAGCATGAAGCCATCTGGTTCCCCCTTTGATGTGGTCCCCCCTCGACTGCTAAAGGAAGTTTTTCCTACCCTGTGTCCTTTTATCCTCGCTATTCTGAATAGCAGTTTATCCTCAGGTGTGGTGCCAAAGACTTTTAAACATGCTGCTGTCCAGCCCCTCCTGAAAAAACCTAACCTTGACCCCTCAGTCATGTCCAACTTCCGGCCTGTCTCCAGACTCCCATTCACCTCTAAACTACTGGAAAAAATTGTGGAGTCTCAGTTGAAACAGTTTTTGGGGGATCACGCTATCCTTGAGTTATTCCAATCTGGCTTCAAATCTCTCCATAGCACTGAAACTGCTCTACTGAAGGTTTTTAACGACATTTTCATTTCCACAGACGCAGGTGATTCTGTGCTGCTTGTCCTATTGGACCTTACATCTGCTTTTGACACCATCGACCACAATATCCTCATTTCTAGACTGGAGCAGTGGGTGTGCATCACAGGGTCAGCCCTTAAATGTTTTGGGTCTTACCTCTCTGACAGAACCTTCTGTGTCAATATCAAAGATTTTAGTTCGGCATCGACAGCGCTCCAGTGGGGGGTACCGCAGGGGTCCATCCTCGGTCCCCTTCTCTTTTCTTTATACCTGCTGCCACTAGGTGCTATCTTCCGCAAACACGACATACCCTTTCATTTCTACGCCGATGATTGCCAAATTTACTTCCCCCTGAGGCACAGAGGCACACGCTCTATTCAGCCTCTTCTTGACTGCCTGGCTGACATCCGGAACTGGATGGCTTAAAACTTCTTAAGCTTCAATGAGAAGAAGTCTGAAGTCATGCTGTTCCATCCCAGTGGCTCACTCATGAACCATGACATTGACCTTTTCTCTCTAGCCCCGCTAGAGAAACAAAAGGTCACTAATCTGGGGGTGATAATGGACCCGTCCTTAAAACTCAACAGTCACGTAAACATGATGGTCAAATCCTGTTTTTTTCAGCTGAGACGGCTGTCTAAGCTGAAGCCTATACTCTCCAAAAAGAACCTTGAGACAGTGATCCACGCCTTCATAACATCTAGGCTTGATTACTGCAATTCAATTCTGTTTGGAATCAGTCAGTCCTCCATTGCTCGTCTACAACTGGTCCAAAATGCTGCAGCCCGATTTTTAACTGGTACAGACAGGCTATAGAGAGCACATCACGCCAATTTTGGCCTCCCTGCACTGGCTACCCATTCACCTTCGGATCCATTTCAAAATTCTCATGTATGTTTTTAAATCACTGAACAGTTCCGCCCCATCCTATCTCACTGATCTTCTGCAGCCATATGTCCCACCGCGCTCTCTGAGGTCAGCAGACCAGATGCTTCTCTCAGTCCCAGAAACCCGTCGTAAGCTCAGAGGTGACAGGGCTTTCTCTGTTGCAGGTCCACGACTGTGGAATGAGTTGCCACTGAGTGTCCGGCAGGCTCCCACACTCTCAGTCTTTAAGTCTCGCTTGAAGACCCACTTCTATTCGCTTGCCTTTAACACGGTGTGATTTGTTTTGGTCCGGTCTGTTCTCTACTCTGTTGGCCATTTTAGTTAGCTTCTGCTGCTATTTGTATCTGTATTTCTATTTTATGTTTTCCTGTCTGCTGTGCATGTTTGGTTCTTTTGTACAGCACTTTGGTTGGCCTTGTTGCTGTTTTAAGTGCTCTATAAATAAATTGGTATGGCATGGGTATGGTATGTACATGTTGACGTGTACGTGTTGACATGTATGTGTTGACGTATACGTGTTTAGGACGTGTACGTGTTGTGTACGTGTTGATGTGTACGTGTTGAGGACGTGTACGTGTTGACATGTACGTGTTGATATGTACGTGTTGATGTGTACGTGTTGAGGACGTGTACGTGTTGATGTGTACGTGTTGATGTGTACGTGTTG